GAAAAGGGGTTCACCCGTGATTGCCTGAGAAAGTAGGGGGGTTTGGCCATGCACTGTTTCAACTGCTGAAAATCCTCTTCAGATTCTACCGTCCACTCAAAAGTTTGCTGAAGAACTTTGAAGAAGAGGAGGCGCTTGTCCGTAGCGCGGGAAATGAAGCGGTTGAGGGCGGTGACTCTGCCAGTAAGCCTCTGAACCTCCTTAACCGTTCTAGGCGACTGCATTTCTATCAAGGCCTTGATCTTTTCGGGGTTAGTTTCGATGCCTCGCTGACTGACCATAAAACCCAAGAATTCCCAAATCCTACACCAAATGAGCATTTCTCCAGATTGAGTTTCATTTGATACTTTTGTAGGGTGCCAAAGGTCTCTTGCAGATCGGCCAGATGATCAGTGGAGAGCTTGCTCTTGACTAGCATGTTGTCAACGCATACTTCCATGTTCCGGCCCATCTGGTGATGAAAAACGGCGTTGACCAACCATTGGTAAGTGGCCCCGGTATTTTTTAACCCAAATGACATGACACAATAATGGTAGGTTCCCCAGTCGGTGATGAAGGAGGCGTGCTCCCGGTCAGACGGGTGCATCAAAATTTGGTTATATCCAGAGAAGGCGTCCATAAAGCTGAGCATTTGATGGCCGCCCGTGGTGTCAACGAGCAGATCTATACGAGGAAGGGGATAACTGTCTTTGGGGCAAGCTCGGTTAAGGTCGGAGTAGTCGACACAGAGTCGCCATTTATTGTTGTTTTTACGAACCAAGACCACATTTGACAGCCATCTGGGGTAGTCCACATTTTTGATAAACTGTGCCTCAAGGAGCTTATCTACTTCGGAAGCGATAAGAGTGTTGCGTTTCGGGTGAAAGATGCGCTGCTTCTGGTGGAAGGGTCAGAAGTGGGGCTCAATGCTGAGACGATGGGTTATGAAGGAGGGGTTAATACCCGGCATGTCAGAGTGGGTCCAGGAAAATACGGCGTTGTGCTTAATCAGGAGGGCAGTAAGGTCGGCCTTTGCTTAAGAGGATAGTTGGCTACTGATTTTGGCAGTTTTTGTCAGGTTGGTGGGGTCGATGGGGACCTCAACAAGCTCTTCCGCTGGTTCCCCTCTGACCAGCTCGTCCTTGTCTCTGACGCCGAGCCCTTCAATGATCATAGCCTTCTTTAACTTGACCTCTTTAAGTGAGGCGACGTAACATTCCCTAGCCACGGTCTGCTCTCCTCTTATTGTGCCGACCCCCAAGTCAGCGGGGAACTTGACGGCAAGATGGAAAGTGGATGTGATAGCTTGGAAAGCATTTAGGGCGGTGCAACCGAGGAATATGTTGTAAGTAGAGGGACAGTCGACGACGGGGAAGGTGAGTAACTTTGTGGTCTGCTGTGGGTATTCCCCGATTGTGATGGGAAGATCGATGGAGCCGATGGAGGTCACCCGATCTCCAGTAAAATCGACCAATGGAGTTTGGAGAGGGGACAAACTTTCTTCCCCGATCTTGAGCTGGCGGAAGGCATTTAGGAAGATGATGTCTGAAGAACTGCGGTTGTCGACGAGAACCCGTCTGACCTTGTAATTGGAGAGGAGGGTAGAAATGACGAGAGGGTCGTCATGGGGGTAACGGATGCCTGTGCAGTCGGCGTTCGTAAAGGTGATAGGCTCCGTCCACTGCTTGAGCTATTTGGAGGGTCGGTCTAATGTGGCAACTTCTTTGTCTGAGCCCTACCTTATTTTTCTGAGTTATGCCCGCTGAGCCGAGCGGGATGGTCCTTCATAAGCAAGCCCGCCGGCAATAACTCTGATTTCTCCAACAGGGGGGCGGGGTTACCTTGTGCCCGGGGTTGCTGTGGAGGGCGATCATGACCTTGGTTAGGTTGTACTGGTTGTTGGGGAGGGGTGCGCCGACGGTTGTTTCTGATAGGTTCAGTCCTTTGCCTCTGCTGAGGGCAAGTTTTCGTGAACAGACTGAGACATCCCTGACGTATCAAGCCCTCGACCTGATCTTTGACGTTAACACACTCCTCGATATTATGGTCGTGGTCATGGTGAAAACGGCAGTATTTGGACTGGTCTCGCCGATTGGAATGAGACCATGATTGTTGGGGCCATTTTAGGGGATAGTCTCGTTGGATCTGGTTGAGGACTTGTTCTATGGGGGAATTGAGGGGTAGTGTCGACAAGTCGGCTCAGGGGGGTCGGTTGGTATACTGAGGTGTTTGGTTATTGTACTGGGTGTTTCTGGTTTCTGAGTCCTTTCTCTTCTCTCTAGGGGTCGGGTTTTTGGCTGTAAGATCTTGGCGAGCGGCTAGGGAATCTTCGGCATTCATATATTTTTGGGCTTTGGAAAGTAAGGTTGCCATTGAGGTCGAGCGGTTTTTGGAGAGGGAGAAAAGGAAATCAGATGATCATAGGCCGGCCATGAACGCCGTGAGGATGACCTTGTCATCATTTTCCGCCATCTGCAGGGCTTCGGTGTTAAAGCGGGTGACAAAGCTGCGCAGCGACTCCCCCTCGGTCTGACGGATGTTGATGAGCTGGGTTGCCGGACGCAGCTGGCACTGGGTTCCAATGAAATGGTTGAGAAAGGAGTCACTGAGGTGCTGGAAAGTGGAAACAGAGTCTGCTGGCAGTTGACTAAACTAGAGTCGAGCCGACCCCTTGAGTGTTACGGGGAAAGCCCGACACATGATTTCATCGGGGAATGCATAGAGGATCATGAGGGTTCTGTAGGTCTCTAAGTCATCGACTGGGTCCGATGTACCGTCGAAAGAGTCGATCGTGGGCATTTTAAACTTGGGGGGTAGAGGTTTGTCCCTGATAGAGGCAACGATCGGAGAGTTGGCTGTGGTAGATGGTTTATGCTGTATGTTCTGCATGACTCCTTGGAGCTGGAGTTTCATGGCTCGGAGTTCTGCATCCCAAATAGGAATGTTGTCACCATCGGAAAGCAGCGGGGGCTGGACGCTACTGGTCTCTCATTCAGGGGTTAGTGCCGGGACCGATGGATGCGGGGCCCGGGGTGGCGAATTTATATCCGGGGGAGGGGGTCGCAAGCCTTCCAAGTTGGGTGGATGGGGCTGCTGGAGAGTATGGCTCGGGGCTCGTTCTTGGTTGGGTGGGATATCTGGAGGTGGTGGAGGGGGTATATGAAGGTTTCTTTGGAATAGAGCATTAATCAGGGCTTGGTTTTGCTCGGCCAGGCGGTTAATGTTGTTGGTGAGCTCGGTGAAGTACTGTGGTGGGTTGTTTGGGTTGGGAGGGTCGGCTTGGTGGTCGGTAACATTGTGGTGAGAAGCCATGGATCTAGTTGTGACCATCCACCTTGGTGGGCGGCAGAAAAAGGTTATTGGGAAAGGGTCTCCGGCGACAATGAGCACAATTGACGCGCGGAGCAAAAGGATTCCCATAGACGGCGCCAACTGATGATGCTACGTGTTCCTGATGGAACGGGTTGGACTGATCCACGCTTCCCAAACCAATGCCCGAGGTATCAAGCCCACCAGAAGACTTGCACAAGAGTTCAACGGGGAACGGGGAGTCCCCCAGCGAACCCTCAAACGAGCAAGTTAGAAAGAGAGGTGGAATGTAGAGATAGATTAAAGATAGAAAGCTTAACCTTCTTTTTGTCTTCGACGTCTGCTTATATCCTCTGGTAATCATTTCGTTGTCCCTTCCAACCTGCCATCTTGGTCGAAAGTCTATGCTATAGCTTGCCTTGTTCATGGTGAGGCCGTTCTGTCTTGACGGGAGGAGTTATCGCAATAAATGCTGTAAGGGGCTTCATTAATGGCTGATATGCAGTGCAATAACTTTGCAGGATCTTTGTCTGCTTATGTGGCTTGTCATTCACCTGCCACGTGTCTAACAAAATATCACATCCAACCCATAAGACAAGTTGGTTCTTGGGCTTTTTTGGCTATTTTAGCCACAAAAGACAAAATAGGCTATTTTAGCCATAACAAACAAAACATCACATCCAACCCATAATCATTACATTCTTCTCTCACAAAAAAACTCAAAAAAGCAAAAAAATCAAAAAGTCCTTCCCAAACCAAGCTTTTAAGCCCAGGCTAAAATAGCCAAAAAAGCCAAAAAGCCAACCCACTTCCCAAACGGAGGCTAAATGTCATTGGTTCTTAATGCCATGTTGAGTTCCTGCCATGTTGGGCCTCATTAGTTGAATTATGTGTTGGGCCCTAAGTGGTGGGCTTGGGTCGTTCATAGTGGGCTGTAGCCTTTATGAGTTTACCTATGTCAATTATTAACATTATTTTTGTATTTCCAAAGCATATTATATCTTCAAGATTAATTGTCATTATAGATTGTTGTTAGTACTGAAGACCCTCATAGTGCATTTATTTGGTGCCCAAAACCTCTCTTCATGATCTTAAAGACTTAAAAATGCCTAATTATGACTAATCTTAATGAGTATATGGGCTTTGACAAACACTAAGCATATACGTTTTACAACAACTATAAATGAAACAAATAATTATGAAAATATAAAATACAAAAGGTTACACAATTAAAGAGTCATCTTCACGAATAATATTTTCTAATATATCAAAATTTATACATAGATAAAGATACTTACATAGCCTGATCTTACTTTCAAAAGCTCTTCACCAAGCTCTGATACCAATTACAAACACAAAAGAAAAAGAGTTTTCTACTATTTTTATTATGGAGTTATGATGGAGTTAAGAGACGTTAGAGACGAAGTAGGCAACAAAAGGATGGAGGGAATTTACATTGTCTTTTATGTTGACGTGAAAGCCAATTTATAGAATACAATTGATAGATACAAACAAAACTAAAAACTTAATGCATACCTAACTTGGCGAGTTCTTGCAGGACAGGTAAAACCCGTAATCCGTCGACAATCTGCAATAATGTTATATTTTAAATCGCATCTGCTGATGTTATATCTGTGAAACTACCTATTTATACGTAGATTAGTTCGAGTTTGGCGGATTTTGCGGTTCGGATAACCTATGTCAGTCCTAATTTCTATATCATATTCGGGGAACCAAACAGGACTTAGGTCTTGATTCTCAAGGGATCGAAACCCCGTGTGCAGAGAGAGAGAGATCCATAACCAGAATCACAGAGCTCCCAAAAATGGCCCCAAAACCAGAAACCCTAACCTCCTACTCATCATCATCAACAGATCAAACCTCCACAGACTCATCCACACTCGATCCAATCGTCCAAATCCTCAAGATCTTCCCCTACAGCTTCCTCCGCCTCCCTCGCCTCCGCCTCAAGCTCCCCTCCTTCACTCTCCCCTCTCCTATGACCGTCTACTCCCTCGTCCTCCTCACCTACTTCATGGTCGTCTCCGGCATCATCTACGACGTCATCGTCGAGCCCCCCGGCATCGGCTCCACGCAGGACCGCCACACCGGTTCAGTCAAGCCCGTCGTCTTCCTCCCCGGCCGAGTCAACGGCCAGTACATCATCGAGGGACTCTCATCCGGATTCATGTTCATTCTCGGTGGAATTGGGATCGTGCTGTTGGACCTCGCTATGGATAAGAATCGCGCTCGCACCGTCAAGGTTTCGTATGCGTCGGCTGGGGTTGCGTCGGTTGTGATATCGTATCTGATGAGTATGCTCTTCATTCGGATCAAGATCCCTGCTTATCTTCAGTGAAATTGTGAGTCTTTTTTTTTACATGAATGTTGTTATGGATTTAGAGATTTTTGGGGAATTTATTAACGTTTATCACAGTATGAGGAATTAAACGAAATATAATTCAGGATCTTATTTGGGATTTGGTTTATTATATGATATGATGATTAGCTTAATTAAGTTGAGGTTTACTGCTTTTTAATCTATATGAATAGTAGCTTTGGTGAATATATATTGTTGTATTGGCAATGGAAATAACAAAATGAATTAATCTTTTCTCATAAAAAAAAAATCCCGTTGCAAAGAGAAAATGACTGTTTGGATCACAAACTTGTAATGAATCATTTTCCCTCAATGTCAGGATTTTACTGTAGAGAAGAAGAGTATGGTATCATATACAACACTCTAATCCCCTCAGAGAAGATTTACACATGATTAGGTTTTAGAAGACATTAGTAATCTACGAAATTCGAACCTGCTCTGAAGATTTTAGTGTAGAGGAGGAGAAGATGATGGTGGTAATCTACTAGCTCTAACACCTTCTATACAAAAACTGAAAATTCAAATATTATTGATTCTGTATAATTAGTTTAAGATAGCTCATTTACAAATCACTGAATTCATATCTTCTGCAATTGGAGTAGGAGTTATGATGTTTCGTTTTTTAGTTTTATTTTTTCACCACTAGACTAGCACTGAACAAAGTAGCATCTTAACTTCTAAGAAACCAAAAACACGTTAACTAGAAGACTGAAAAAATACTTCCCAATCATGTTAGCTAGTGTTGTCTTGTGTCATTGCTGCCCTCAGATGGCTTGAATTTTGTACCTGTTACCAATATGATATTTCACTGTTTTTGGTTTGTTGGCCGTGGTGTTGAATAATAATGAACTCTGTTTGAACAGTCTTATTTCATACTAGATCTCGACTTGAAAAGAAGACAAGATCCATTTTAGGGTCACTAATAACTCGATCAAAAGAATTCTCCAATGAATTATTGAAGGTGCATACAAAATAATAAACTCCGTTAAAAAAGAAAAAGAAAGAGATACAATATATTATTTATTGTTTTCAGCATTGATAGAAGTAGCAAAATATCTTTGTCCCTTTCAATTCAGGTACCAGTTGAGGAGATTATATTAATTCATGTAAGTTGGACAATTGGAAAAGGAAGCATTTTTGTATGGATACAAGAGAAGGGAAAAAAAGAAAAAAGAAAAAAAGAAAGTAGCTGCATAGCACTTACACTCAAACAAGTAAAACACAATTCATACTTAATCTATTTTTGTAGAATTTAGGTACATTTAATACATCTCTTTTGAATTTTGTTAATTTCTAATACATGTCAGAAGGATTTGATTATACTTTATTAGTATCAATTTTAAATTGAATACAGGAGAATGTTACCCACACTTGATCTATATTGACGTTAATAAATTGAGTTTCAAGTTATAAATTTCTCTCTTTTTTCTTATATAGATGTGGTGACATGAACAAATTATAAGTTTCGAGTTATAAATATCTATCCTTTTCTTTTTCTTTTTACACTAATACTTCAATCCTTAGCATCCCCTCCTCTTTGCTCTGAGGCAAGGCTAGAGTAAGAAATTTTAGTGTAAAAATAAAATAAAATAAATAGAAGTTAAAATCACAAATTGTTATGGATTACATATATAGTAATGGCAACAATTTGTGACGTGTTTATGGATTTAACGGCCTTGAGAATTCGCCCAAGTTCATCTGTAAATCTGACCCAGCTCTTTCTAGGCTTGAGTTACCTAAGCAGGCTCCATTTAGTATTGAGATTGACTTGGACTATTAAGTTTCTCACTCTTAGGAATTTCTATTAGCAAAAAGGACATTGACAGACAACTTGCAATGCTGAAGTACTTCTATCTTTTTTTATCTCGTAATTTTGTGTTATTACTATCAAGTTAACATTCTATGGTGACTTAAGAATGCTAATTAAGAGGGGAATTTGTGCCGAACAAATGGGCCAAGCAAAATCCAAACTAGGCTGTTGTCCTGGATCTCTCAATCGGGCTGGAAAGACATCCAGGTATTGGGCGGAGATGTCTAGTCGGCTTGGACCAAGGGTGGAGCTTGGTCAAACGATGACCTTGCCTTCAGTCGGGCTGGGGACAGCTAATGATTTCAGCTGAGCCCTGGAGCTAGGCAGAATTTGTCTTGAACGATGAACAGTTGGGCGCCTTGGATCTAGATTGGTTGGAAGTAGCTGGTCTTGAAGGGCGAGCAGCATCGCACCGAGCTATAGATAGGTTGGTAGGAGTTGCCACATGGCCCAATTGGAGTGTGAGGACAAGAACCCGCCGTCTTTACGCGTCAATGTCATTTGGAGGTTTAGTTAATGCTGTTTGGCAGTATTGACGCTCACACATGTAAGGCAAAGAGAGGATAGTACATCCACGCGTCCAAGAAAGGATGAGCAAGGTAGTGCATGCACAAACTATATAAGCCTTGCAGTGCCTCCTTGCAAAAGCCCTGCAATTTTCTCTTTACTCAAGTTGCCTTTCTTCTGTCTCTAAGGGTGCTAACTTGACCGTCATAGTGGTTTTTCGGCAACACACCTGCTTGGCAGCTCACCGTTGTTGTGCTTTCAGGCTAAATGACATCATTCGGAGTAACGCTAAACTTAGATGAAAAGAGTACGGAAGTAAGAATATTTGTTCCCGTACACTAATAAAGCATGGCTGTTTATAGAGTATTATAATTGCAATGAAAACAATACTAGTAATTTCTTTGTGAAGCAAACTAAGTTTTTTGAAATAGTAAAAAGCATGTTGGCATTTTTGCTTGTCACATGACACATACTGTAATTGACGTTTCAAACTAGAAATAGTGAACTATTTAGGAAAAAAATTATAAACAAAATCGAATTCTATTAATTAGAAAAGCATAACCTGTTTTCAAAGTTAATACTCATTTTTGTAATAACATATAGAAAAAAAAGTGGTTATATTTTCTATAATTATTTGTTTAAACACTAAAATTAGTTTACTTTATTCAAATAGCCATAAACAATTCATTTAGCTTATAAAAAGGACCCATATCTAAATGTTTAATCCCATTTCCATTCTCTGGTATAACATGGGAAAAAAAATTATCAAATAATTTTAGATGAAAAGTTAGGGTATGCCAACGAATATATTTTCATTTTAAATGAAAAGCTAGGTTTTCGATGGTTGCAAAAGAGGCTAAGTTAGGTTGTTTTTTAGATTTGAAGACTTCTAGTGCTAAGTGAGGCTGTAAATCAAATTTGACGATTTTTATTCTGTTACATGCATTAAAATTGGTATTCGGATGGAGATTTGGGGGTTTAGCATTCTTTTCTTGCATGTTTAATTGGTAGTAGTTGTCATTCATTGGTTGATACTGGGATATTGCTTTGGTGTTACTTAGGCCTCGTTTGGGGACTAACCGGTTTAGCTAAAAAGTAAAAAAGTTACTAAAAAATTCAAAAAGTCAACAATTCATACTAAAAAGTTAAAGATTTTTTTTTCTATTTTTTGCACATCTTTTCGTAAAAAGTCAAAAAGTCATTCCAAACATGTCAGTTTTTTTAGCTCATATTTTAGTTAAAAGTCAAAAAGTTACTAAATTAGCCTGTTCCCAAACGAGACCTTAGTAGGTGTTTGGGATAAACTAAAAAAGTGCATTTTTTTTTTATCTACATACACTTATTTGGGTCATATCAATCAATATCTATCAACATCTCCTCTCTACTTTTCTAATCACTTTTTTTACTTTTTTACACATATTTTATAAAAAATTAAAAAGTATACTTATTTAGAACATCTGGAATAAGATAAAATTTTAACTTACCAGCCAAAAGAGGAAAATTAAACATATTTACATATCTTTCAGAGATAAAGGATACAAATAATTGGTAATGACAATTTTTTAAAATAATATAGTCATTGTTTTAAATCTCCTCCAATACATCATTCTTAAATAAATAAAAATTTGTTGAAAATAATGCCAAAAAGAGAAACACATTAGAACATTAATACCACCCTAATAAGTACCTAAATAATTCAGAAGCAGAGTCTAGCATAATTGTTGCCAACATTTTATGTGCATGTCTTTTTAGATAACAATTTCACTCGTGCAATACTCATTTTCAAGTGAAAATGAGCTTTTGGGATGAAATGAGAAACATGATAAAATATTTTACTATTAAAATAAGACCCGTGACGAGACTGACACGTCTAATTGGGAAGCGGATTTCTCTCCAACTAGTGAGAAGTTAGCTCCAAATCAAAATATTATATGACGATGGACTTACTTTTTGGAAGAAGAAATATGCAACCAAATTGTCCGGAAATGGTCTACAAAAAGAAGCAAAACAATCCTAACAGGTTTAGAATTCTGCCCACAAGAGGATCCACACCACAGCCCCTTTATGTGTAAGCCTAGATGTAAAATACAGCTCATAAAGGCTCAAATAGTTATCAAATTGATGAATGAAATTGTGAATTTATCACAGCATATCTTAATGGAGTGGGCAGCTCTGTGCATTCAGGACAAAGTTGAGTTGAATTTAGTTGAATTGAATCTAATGTTCAAAGCTCCTGTCACAGATTAATTATTTATAGTGTCTTGGGTTTGATGTTTTCATTTTTTAATTTTTTTGGTTAGTAGGCATGTAAGCGTGAGCAGTATATGTTTTAAAATGTGTTTAAGTTTGAGTTATTTATCTTTTAAACTAATATCAAACGAGTTTTAATCAACCTACATTTTAGTAATTGAATTTTTTTTATAGTACATATAAGATTATTGAGTTAAACTCAAATTATAATAAATATAAAAAAAAAAATTTGTTTAAGTTTCACTTATTTAAATAACGAGTCGATCTTGAACAAATTTTTAACGAGTTGATTTAGAGCTGAATGAGTTTTATTGAGTTAAATACAAATTGAATTCGAATAATTTAATTCATTTTAGAATGTTATTGATCAATAAAGAGTAGCGAAACAAAAGAAAAACAAACAGAACTAAATCAAGACAAGCTCACTAGATGTATCTCCTCCTTCTTCTTTTTTTTTTTTATATTATTTTTTATTTTCTTATGGAGTTTTCATGAATTTTATGACATTTCTTTGGGCTTTGGTTAACTAACTTGGTTCTGCATTGGCTGTCATTTAAATTCATCTCCAGCCCATGTTCTCTT